TGATTCTTACTTAAGGCATAAACTAAGTAAAACATTTTAAAATATTCACTTACCTTTGGTATTGAAATATCCTATATTTAATCACATATCACAATATTCCACAAGAGAATTATTATATAATCCTCAGCCCAATAACCATTTAAAAGCATTTCAACCGGAACATGATTTTTTCATAAAAGATGCTCAAGAGGTAGATTACCAAAAAAGAACTATTATTAGAGTAAAGAAATTTTGAATTGTAGATCAATAAAGACTTAAGTACACTTGATTCATCTTTTTTCATGAGATGCCTTTGTATTGTGGTTACAAGGAGAACTCAGTAAAAATTACAGTACCAGTATTTTGTTTTAGTCTTATAATTGAAAAAAACTATAAACATAGGCTACTTGTTTTGGCTAAAATGCAGTTAGCTGCAGGGCAGATGATGTCTTCCAGGGTACACAGATGATGGAAGTTTCCCAGGTCAATTACTGGCTATAGTCTATAGTCATAATTCTGTTTTTCAAAAGATTTCAAAATTTATAGCTCTGTTAACTCTGTACAGGTACTGTATCTATTTGATAGATTATTTTTGTTCCTGTCATTTTTAATTTTGTCTTGAAAAGAAATTATTTTGTTTCTTATTTTTGTCTTGATGTTTGAACTCTAGTCACTCCATAACTTTGAATCAATATTGTAATTTTGTCATAAAAGCAATAATCTGATCATGCAGTGACATGCATATAGTAAAATATTGAGTATCTTGATTGTTCTTGACAATACTGGGCGTAGAGGATTGCTGCAACATTAACCCGAGCTTTTCTGGCATATGGCATATGTTTTGTGGTCTGCAGCCGCTGTTCTGTTGGCTTCATCATGCTTTATGTTGTATGAAGCCTTTGTGTACAGAGGAACGCCAAGATGCTCGATACTTTGTTGATTGTTGTGTTTGGGATTATGTCGAACGCTTTCAGTGAGGGTTTTAGTTTGTTTTTACAGTTTTTCTTTTGTTCGCCAGAAGAAATTATAGATCTTTTTGTCAAGACTTTTCCCAAGTGATTCCATTGTCTGGTTTTTCTTTACATATGCATTTTCTTCTTGTTTCAGTATGTCTAAAATCATGAAATGTGCTGGTAATGATGACAGTATCACAATAAAGGCAGCTGATGAAGCTGATACGGTGTCCCTTGTTTTTGAGTCTCCTAGTAAGTTATAGTAAATTATCTTTCATCTTGTAATATAATTTTAATGCTTTTATTTTGATATATTAAAAATTCTTTTATCTTCTCACATTTTTTAATGCTTTTTTTTTAAACAGATCAAGAGAAGGTATCAGACTATGAGATGAAGTTAATAGATCTGGACACTGAGCATTTGGGGATTCCTGTACGTTTTTAGAAAAGAATTTTACGAAAGATTAATTATATTATCTAACTAGAAATATATTTTCTAAGTTTGTAAACTCATTGATTTTAATGATCTAATGAAGTAGCAATCTTTTCTTTAAAAAATCAGTTTTTTTTTGTAGGACACAGAATACAGTTGCGTAGTTAAAATGCCAAGTGCTGAGTTCCAGCGCATCTGTCGTGATTTAAGTCAGTTGGGTGATTCAGTTGTCATAGCGTGCACAAAGGAAGGCGTTAAGTTTTCAGCCAGTGGTGAACTTGGAACAGGTTTGTAAATAATTTGTAGCTCTGAGACAAGAGAGTTGCATTAAGAAAGAACTTTTTTTTATTATTATTACCGGGTACTGGTTTAAACTACGGTATTTGAAGAAATTACCTTAGCTGTCTTGAGTTTAAATTGTTATAATTGTTAAGTTAATAAAAGTTGTTTTGGTTAAAATGTGTATTTATTTATGTGTTGACTATTAAATATATATATTTGTAATCAAAAGACATTTGTTTATTTTGATCTTTAAAGAGTCTTATTAAAAAATTATTTTGGTACCGGTACTTAAAAACATTTTTTTAATAAATATATATATATTAGGGGTGTGCCGGACCCCGGTCCGGAATCCGGTTCCGCCGGATTTTGCACTATCCGGTGAAATCCGGTTCCGCCGGATTTACATGTATCCGGAACAACCGGATTCCGGAATATACCGGATTTCGGAATTTGCCAGATTTTGTAACTCACCGGATCATAATCTGAAATAAAAGTAATTCTCTTTCCCGAATTTCACACGATCACGATACATTAATCGATTGTTTCGAGCGTTGAGCTTGTTTATTAAACGCTAGAGTCAGCACCGCTAATAGTGGCCAATAGTGTAGGGACTTTGATAAGAAAATGTAAACTTTTTGTAAAAATAAACCAATGGCATAGTTGAAAAGATGTAATTTTTTAAAGAATTATAACACCAAAATCATATTTTTAGCTGTTGTAGTTTTAAAGTTATGAATTTTTAAAGTACGACTTGGTTTGTCATTTTTTAACATGGACTGCATCTCCACATTCTGTGATCTCATTCCACCAATCCCGTCATGCGCAATGACTATATAGTTTATATAAGGCAACGCATTCCCTGCCTTATCACTAAAATACTGTTTAGACTTAGTTTAAACTTTCAACTTTGGCACATGAATAATTAATTAAAGCTTTCCCTGACCAATGGTTTAATAGTTTTTGCACACGGCAAACTCTTATGAATGAAACTCTGAGGTAGTACTACGATACAGTTATGCAAGTGGCTGTGAATGGTTGCCAATGACAACGTGTTGCACACGGTAAATTCTGATCATTTATAATATGGATTCTACCGGGTTGTTAAAGCTCAAATTAAAACATTCCTGTTTAAATGTCTTTAAATGCATTCTGAAACACAAAGTTATCAATTATTTTGATGTAAATAGTGATAATAAATTAATATTTCCTAAGTATCGTCAACTTCCGCCATTAAAAAGGGGGGCGTGGCCAACCCCATGGCGAAATTAGGTTGAGCGAGCTGCATAACCTGCTGCGAACGCGTAGAAACATGGCGTCTCTCGTAAGACACTTATCCAAATGGAACGGAACTCAAATATATATCGAAAGTACTAATTTAATAATAAATAGACACACACATCGGAAAATTAAAAATTCGGATTTTTTGGCGCCGATTGCGAATTCCCATACACAAAAAGTAGTAGTCCACCTTGACTTACCGAAGTATCTACCAATAGTACCGGAATCCGGATCCGGCGGATTTCGCATAAGAAAATCCGGATCCGGTTGGAAAAAACGGATCCGGCACACCCCTAATATATATATATATATTTAAAGTAGGCCTATTTGCCATCCCGCAATATCAATGCATTTTAGGACACCAATAAGTAATGCTTTTTCCTTCAAAGGGCCAAGCACATCCATTCCATAGAAAGGAAAATAGTTGTTTTGTTTTTTTTACCGGTAAATAACAATTTGATTTCGGTTTTCAGGAAATATCAAGCTATGTCAGAATGCCAGCACTGATAAAGAAGAGGAGGCTGTGATTGTAGATATGAATGAGGCGGTTTGTTTAACCTTTGCTCTCCGCTACCTTAATTTTTTCACCAAAGCAACACCCCTCTCTGGACAAGTTTCACTATCCATGTCTCAGGATGTTCCACTTGGTATGGATACTAATTTTATTTTTACCATTGTTTTAGATTCCCTGAAAAAATTGTATTTTAAAAGCAAGTAAGATGGAAGCTTCTAGTAATTTGGTGATCTTGCAAATTTAGGACATTTAAATATTTATTTATGGTGCTCTTGAAATTATTGCCTTTTATACTTGGGTCCCATGTACATATTCTTTGTAATATGTAGGTTTCCATTTCTTCTTATAAATTTATTTTATTGATGGTTATACATTCAGATTTTCTTATTTCAAATTGTTTGGGTGTTGAGTATAGTTTTTTTTCTGATTGTGTCTTTGAAAATAGAACATTTAAATTGCTTGATCTTTCTGCATTATATAGGCACTTTAGTTGGAACCAATCCTCATTTACCATATCCATAAATGAGACAGTACCTATTTTAGTAGCTTCATTTTCAATAGTTTACCCGGTCTTGGAAGATCAGTCTAGAATTCCACTCTTTAAAATCATCAAAAGAATACAAATTTCTGCTTATTTATAGAATGATTTATATGATTTGGTAATTACCCTGTCCATCATTCCTTATTTTAGTTAGTGCATAACAGGTTTATCCTTTAATCTTATTATGGAAACATTAGTTACCATGGCAAGCCAACAACTGCAATGTAGCTCATTAATCTTTCTTTTTTTATTTGTCAAACACTGTGGTTTTCCTGTTAGATAAAGATTTGGGACCATTACATTTTTAAAAAATTGCGTTCTAAGGTTGGGAACTTAATTTTATAATGTTATTTTCTTCAATGATTTATTATTCTTTTTCAGTTGTTGAGTACAAGATAGCCGATCTTGGATATCTTCGCTTCTACCTTGCACCTAAAATAGAGGATCAAGAGGCTGAATAAATATATAATCTTGCTCTTACATATTTCATTACATATTGTTCGCCATTGCACTTCATCTTACATCAAGTGAAAATTCATTTCTTATTGCTATATATCACTCATGAGATATTATTTTGCCAGTGTATATATAATTTGGAAAATAAATATGTTTTATTGGTTTTTTTTTTAGCTGTTAAGTGATAATAAAAATGTTTGACTGTCATTCACTGTCAATATGGTTTAGTTTTTTTATTTCAATGTAACATGATATTTTGTCTATTTGTACCTGTTTCTTGAAAATTTCTCATCCTTCATGCAATGACTTGAGATTACCAGAATAAATTATAGAACATACCGGTACAGTACTTCATATGAAATCTATGAGAAAATGTGAGCTTTCTTATTGCCTTTAAAATGGCTATTACTATTGGCCAGTGTGACGATGACATGAAGTACTGAAATTGTAAGATATGTGCACTCAGAAGCCCAAATGATTAAGTTTTAGAACAGAACCAATATGCTGTGAGTGAAGTTCTGGAGGGTGACTGCACCGGGGCTGGTGGGCATGTGATTGCTGGCTCATAAACAATGTCAAGGGTGAACATTAGAGAGCTCACATTTCTGCATATCAGATCTAACAATACAATGATCTCAGTTACTGACTATTCAAAATAAAAAAAACAAACCCACCATCACTCTTGCTTTTCAATTTTGCTGTTAATTTATGAAACAGAAGCGTGTGGCACCCCCATCTCAATTTCACAACATGGTAAATGATAAATTCTTTAATATTTTCTTGATCTTCCCGCACCGCCTGGTACTGCCTCACGCACACTTAAGGACTGTTAAAAACATTCTAGTCAGAACAAAAGCTCTCACTGTTGTATTATTTGGAACATAATCCAATTTTACATAAATTAAATGGTATGTGCAACCCTCAATAGATTAAAAAAATTGCTTTTGAAACAAGGAAATAGAAACCTACAGCTGCATGTTTAAAAAAAGTGATTAAGATAATCTCAAGGTGAAGTCCAGTGAAGAAAATTTGCATTGAGCCTGAAGTAGAAATGTCATGGTACCGGTTTGTAATACAAATAAAATACATGGGAAGTAACTTAAAATATTTATATCCGGATTTCAATTTTCTGTAGGCTTCCATGTTACTTACTTTTAAAATAAGTCTTTCAGGAAATCTAAAATCAGAGTTAAAAAGATGTGTATCTTGAGACATGGATAATGCAACTTGCCCAGAGAGGAGTGTTGCTTTGATGAACATATTGTGCAAGAGCCCCTGATGTAAAGCCTTCCTTATACTTATACATAAGTATACCGGTACCCATTATAACTGATGTAACATTGAAGAGATTGCCATGTTATATTATAAATCAATCAGGCTTTTAACTTGAAAGTTATACCATACTACTTATTTAGTTAAGAGTTAATTACTACATATTAATGTAGCACCAGTACAGATATTGTTCAATAAATTCTGGGGTTGTCAAATATTGAAATGTTTCAAAATTTTTTGGTAATGAGATATTCCTTTATTTCGTGTATGTATGGCTATTTTTACTTAACCGAGTCATAAATATTTAATAATCACAGATCTCAAAAGTACTTATTTCTTGCTACGTCGTCTGCATAATAATTAAAATGTGAGACTTTAGAATTCTCACAGACAAGACTTACAATTCAACTATTGTAACCAATAGCAAGTAAATAAGACGGATTTTTACAAAAATATTTTTAAAATACAAGCTGGTAAGATGTACCGTATTGATAATGTGCTGAGGGTACCAGAGCAATACTGGATGACCTGACCTACTGAGTGCCACCATGTTGTACTTTTACATTAATTATTTGCAGCTACCACAGTACCAGCATAACTAAAACCCTGTTGGAAAGCTTTCAAAAAGTGTCTAGTAATAGAATATTACATGTTTGCAAAGGCCATGTCTTTATTACCTCGTGAGTATGTTACTACTACCTAGAGAACTAATTCATTCTTCTATTAATACTGTTAAATATTTATGTATTCATTTATAATGAATATGGTGTACATTTTAACTTTTACTACAAAAAATTGCTTTGCGCATGTAAAATACAAGAAGAGGTGCCAAATAAATAATAATAAATCCAGATGGTGCTCCATAAATCCCCCACTTAATTATGCCCTTTAGATGTTATCCAAATAGTATTGGCCGAGAGAGTGAAGTTGACAACTCTTCCTCACTTAAATCATAGTTACTGTCAGCACATGTCGCTTTAATCATTCATTCCATCAAATTCTTGTTTAAAAGACCTGTGGCGATAGACAGGCAGCATGTGTGGTTGAACACTGGCAGCCATAGTTAATATTAGCAAACCTGCACATGGGCGCCTCAAAACAGCTGGCCAGGTATAATGTGGATTTTGCAGCCTTTAGCAAGACACTGCAGGAGAGGATGAACTGTGTGTACCGTACTCTGCACCTGAAGATGTCCCATCAATCCCCTACACAAGAAATTTTCATACGGTACCACGGTCAAGAGCTTCGTGCTCATACGGTACCACCAGAAATGGACTCAGCCATCTCCACACCCACAACCCTGTTCACAATTAGTCAATTAGCATATACAATGATTAAGATGGTAGTCATAGTCAATTTCGGCTGACAAACTATTTATCAGTAGCTTCCTGTGAGTGAGCGTATTGATAACAAAATTCTGGCGTATAGCTGTATAAAATACTCAGCACCTGTATATCTTCAAAAACTGATCTCTAAAAATGTATCCATACAGAACCTATGCTTTTTAACTCAGTCCTTACTGAGAGTTCCCAATGTGAATGGACACAGAGAGAAGTCATACAGGGTGCGGTTTTTGGAAGCTATTGTGCCTAAATTGTGGATCAGTTTGCCTCAATCTTTGAGGGACATTTAAAATTATAAAAAATTATTTAAGAACCATTTAAAGACTATTTTCTTTACATAGATTTTAGGACATCACAGCGCTGTGAGCATGCTAAAATAGCATGGACACAAGCGCTATAAAATTACTCAATCATCCCATTTCTATTTTAATCTGCTTTGTGATCAAATCATGACTGAGAAAATGCTTCGGATAAGGGCTGAAATTATTGGTAAAGTCATTTGTATGCAAAATCTCAGATATCTTTTCAATGGGACATAACAAACATGTCACTGACATTTCACCTGATTATCATTATTTACATCCCTGAGGGATAGACCAGATCAACTCGTGAATTATTATAATATTACCCGGTAATAGATTATTTCACTTGATATATATGGTACCGGCACTCATATTTAAAACAAATTGTATGAATTTTTATTATTGGCAATATATTATATTAAATTATATAGAAATAGAACTAATTGCAAGTATACTGCAGTTTTCATCACTGAAGAAACAATATTGGAATACCATTACCATCTAATGTGTATGGAAATTTTATTTACAATTTTTCAAATTTAAGTTGCTTCTGCATCCTCTTCAACTTCATCCTCTTCATCTTGCTCTTTAGAAAGTTTATCAACTTGTCTTCTTACATCACTGCTTGAAATTTTCCTCAGTTTTAAATTCTGGATAAATTTAATTTCTCCATTCCACTTTTTAAATTCTTCTAAATGTTTTTTGTTTATAAGTTCTGGTACTTCTATTCCTGAAGATTCAAACTGATTTGTTTCTTCTTCAATGGTCATTTTAATGGATGCTTCACGGGAAACATGCTGTTTAGACTGTTGTCTTTTCCCAACATTCTGTACAATGCAAATCTGTTCCAATTCTTCTTTAAATCTATCGCGGTACTCAGTCACCAGGTCAATCATATCTTGCTTTGTATAGACATGTCTGTCATCAAGACGATCCTGAAAATGAAATATCAAAAATGTATTATTATTTTTTTAAAGTAAAAGAAATGAAAAATAGAACAGAACATGGCAATACTGTTGTATTCTTTATTTTTGTATGAATGGTTCTTTGAAATTATTTTAAAAAAATGTTTCCTATAAATTGTGGAGTTTTAAAATATTTGTAAATTAATTTTTTCAAATCTGATCACCCAGATTTTAAATTGAATTATTAGGCGTATGCGGCACTATGCCTATCCTATATTTTTTTTACATTTACATGAATATGAAGTATAAGATAAATTTATATAGCATACTACGCCTGCTAAGTCTAACTTTACTAAGTGCTAGTTGTTATAGTATATATAATCTGCTATGTCTACAACTACATGTGTCAATGTCTAAGTCTAGTTTATAGCATATAGTCATATAGGCATTATAAATTAAAGGCATAGGTATAAGCTATAAATAAAATTCAAATAATTGTATCATATATTTATATTATATATATATATATATATATATAGTATAGTCTAAGTATAGAGAATAGCTTATACTACACTATATTTGGACTATAGATGGACTCGATTATCTCAGACTCTATTCTGTATTATTTTTATAAATTATTTAAATTAAATGACCTGAAACCATCTCAATTTTTCAGCTAGTATTTCCGACTTTACAAATTGAGCAGTCTTAGACGTCTCGACCTTCTTTTCGTGAGTTCTTTGCTTGCTCAACTGGAGTGCCTTCCTACTATATGGGTGAACAGGACGTTCTTTTGTCTTATCTCTGGCCGGTCCGCTCTTTTTCACAACTTTAGGCATCGTTAGGAATTGCGTTAGGAATTGGTTGCTTGACACTCATGTACATACATTCACTCACGCCAATTATCACGCACACGAGTTATGTGGATTTAGCCACCAGCTAAAAACGATTATTCCCTTTTCATTTCAACGAAGAGCTCTACAAAGGCATTAGAGTCAAAGTAAAAATCCACGCCGGCTAAAAAATAAGATTGTTTCTAGATAGTCATTCAAGATGCAGACGCCTAGAACTTTATTTCGACTGCATAAATCATTTAGTTGTTGCAGAAGGTATCGCATTAATTTCAATGTTACATTTTTAAAATATCTGATTAGCTATATCTGCTAGTATCGGCGTCTTAGTCTTCGTCCTTACTCCTCAAAACACACTTGTTTTTGACTTATTAAAGTTATTAATTTTATATATTATATTCAATTACTGTCAGTTACACAACACTGCACTCACAACTCTTAGTCTTAGGGTATATTATTTACATCAAATCACTTTTGTTACCAGTACACAGTTAGTGGGCTCTACTCTTCTACTTCTAGCTAGTACTAGTCACTAGTAAAATAAAATACAATTATTTGTTTATTATTATTTTAATTTTAGACGTAAAATTATTTAGGCTGGGTCTACATTCCTACATATTAAATTTTATTAAAATTAAAGCCTAATAGTAATACTAATTAAACTTTTTTAACTTATTAAACTAATTTATAGAAGGTTGAATTACTTGAATCAGTAGTCAGCAGGAGTCGGAGAACTGAGTTGTTATTTTGACCAAGGCTTGACTTGCTCTCTCTTTTGTTTGAGGAAGAGTTGCATAATTTGCCAGCGTCACTCTCTCATCCTTGGCCTGGACCAGTTGATCCAATGACAAGACTTTGTCAATAATGGAAATAGAACAGTCTGTGCGTTCCTCTTGGCAGGATTTGCCGGAATTTTTATTGTGTCACTGTCATACCATCTACGGGACTCGTCCTTGTTTGAATTCAGAGTTTGACTTCTTTTAGATTGGTTGCCAACCAAGGTTAATGATTGGCATCCATCCACTGAGTAACATAGCAGTGGCCCCACTTAGCCTACTAAAAGCTACAACTCCCAGTACTATTACTTAATTTAATTTTTTATTTTTATTTTCTACTGCTACTGGTACACATTTCTAAAATCTTAAAAATCAAAATTTATACAGGGCACACTAATGTCTTTCACACTGATTTTTGCACGATCCATGGTACTGAGCAACTGCTGAAATAAGGAGTCGCAGATAGAATTAAAATTATCTGAGCTTTACCACTCTTTTTCTAATACTGGTATTCAAAATGCAGTTAATTCCATACTTCTCAAATTTCTTTTCAACTTATTCAACATATAGTCGCAAGACTGATCAATATAATTCTATGCCTCTGGGTAGATTTAGATGGAATACTGGCATTTATGAATGAATCTTGAATCTATGCAAATTAAGAGATATTTTAATTTTGTAATCAATAATCTTAATTATTGTCCAGCACCATCTAATAAGCATTTGAAGAGGCTTCTGCAATTTACTGCAAACAGAAACATTACTAAATGAGTTACTGGTTTGATTCATGTCTACTAGATGTTGTGCCCATTGAATCAAAAAAGGAAGATAAATTTTGAAAATGTGTACTAGTACGTGGTGCCCCTTGAGGAATTTGGCCCTTCAACTTACACTTACAGCTTGATGACATTAATGAGGAAGTCATTGTTGGATCTAGGCATTGTCAGTCAGGAAGGGTAGTGATAAATATGTCAATTTATGTGTATTTATTTGTCAAGTAAACCCCCCCCCCCAATTGCCCAGCACACCACCCACTTCCCAATTCATTAAAAATTTTTGTGTATTGTTTCGTATTTTTTGGTCACGATGGACGGCAATATAAAAGTGCCGGGGGGGGGGGGGNGGGGGGGGGGGGGGTAAATAATATTAAGAACTGCATGTTATACATGTAGAATAGCTCATTTGATGTTTTTAAATAGTAATGACCCTTTATGTTCCATCCCTATTTTAAAAAAAATATTTAATTTACATTACATTATCTTTATTTCCAGGATAGCTGCTAATCAAGACAATCACCCAATATTTACTGTAGCACTTGCACATCGGCTTTCATTGCAAAGATGCAGATCCACTTCTACAGATGTCGTTCCTCCACCATCCGCAAATATTGCTGTGAAGAGCTATTCACCCAAAATTGAGAAATTGGTCAATGACATTGGTCAGCTGACATTACTAGAAGTATCCGACCTAAATGAGCTGCTGAAGGTAAGTGATTAAGCTAATCATTCTTAAATTCGTTAGACACAGAATATGAAAATGTGATTTTTAATTTTAGACTTTACAGTTTTTAAAAATCAGTTTTGTTGTACAATTTTTACAAAAAAGTTACAAATTGAACTTGTTCACAGAGAACTCTCAATATTCAAGATGCTCCAATTATGTCGATGGGGGCTATGCAAGCAGTTGGCCAGAAGGTAAAAAAATTCTCACTTCTGTCGTACTATTTTTCGGGAGGTAATAGAAATTATTTTTATTAACTGTTAACTGGCTTATTAAAGTTATTGCTTTCGATCGAAATGAAAATGTTAAAAATGTTCCTAGCAGGCTCCAGAAGAGGAAGAAGTGGCTCCAAAACGAGAAAAGATGAGCTTCACAGTCAAGTTGACCAAATTTGATGCAGGAAAGAAAGTTCAATTAATTAAAGAAATAAAGAATCTAGTGGAAGGACTCAATCTTGTTCAGGTACTATTAATTTTAATCCAATAAGTATTGATGTGTACTGTTAGGAACTATTTTTCTTCTTGTTTCATCCTCTATCTGAAAGCACTTCAGTTGGAGACCCTGTACGAAGTAAACATCTCTTTGAAAATCACTTGGTACAGCTTTTCTATTCCTTCAGTTGATTGGCTGTGCTGGGCTTTTAGTAATAGTGATTTGCCCTTTGCTGAATCTAGATTTTTTGTCAAATTCCAACAAATACATTGAGATATAGCTAATAACTTGCTAAAGGTTTGGTGGAAATAAATAAAACATGTACCTAACTTAAAATTACTTAGTACAAAGTAATATTCAACTAATTTAAATAAATATAACTAAGAAAGAGCCTTCTGCAAACAGTGAATTCTTAGTGAGTTGCTGATTAGTGTCAGGTGCACTAGATGTTGCATCTTATCACATTGAAATGAGAAAAAAAGTAACAAAATTTTGTATTATTTTGCAGTGCTCTTGTGAGGAAGCCATCAACAATTTCAGCCTCATTTTTAAATGTAAAACATTTTTCTCCTAGGCCAAAAAGTTTGTTGAGGCAGTACCCCAAGTTGTGAAAGCTGATGTTACTAAAGAAGAAGCTGAAAAATTAAAGGAAGCGTTGGCCGCAGTAGGAGCAGAAGTCGAGATTGAATGAGGGAGATGTTAATGGGGGGGGTAAATGGATAAATGTGGACTGTCAAAATGAGATGTTTGTAGTAACAGTTTTTTTTTTTAATAATAAAAAAAATTCAATAATGTAAATATTTGCAAGTTCTGTCTTTGATTATAAATTGTAATAAAATTGTTCATTAGTATGTTAATTTTCTGTGACTTGTCAAGTCTCCCATGGAAATGTTAATACTCTTTAAATATTTAGTGTTTTATTGGGTATTTTTTTGTCTGAAAAGATATTTGATAAAGTCTTGTCCCCTAAACAATTTGTAGTACAAACTTCTCTGGTACAATACTGGTAAAATACCACCTTTAATGATCTAGTCATGTCTATTTATAAAATGTTTGGAAGGGGTGTTACTTTTTTAAACAACAAATAGAACCATAAAATTGACATGCAGTACCCATATATTAAAAATTACAAGAATCAAATTGTGAACATATACCATTGACTTTATACCAGATAGCATATCTGGAAAGGGGAGGGATAGACACAGGAACTTCCATTGAATCCTAGCTAGGAGCTAACCATAAAAGACTCACCATTATTTGGGCAATTTTGATATACCTCCATTCACTATTATTCAGCCATTTAACAGTTTATATCTCAGTACCTCATTATTTGCTTCCACCACAATAATTAGAAATTTTAATTAAAATACAAAACTTCAAATAAAGATTTGATTATCAATAAATTCTTAGCAGATTTTGTGCACAACACTTTTTTCACCAAGCAGATGCTAAAATAATTTAGAATCAGCTAAAATTACTTTTTAACACCACAAATGAAACCAGTCATATTTTAACTACATCACTGGACCTTAGAAATTATTAGAAAGCCACCCGAGATTAACAAATGACAGTGAATACATGTTTAGAAACTGTATTACACTTAAATACTGGTAAAACAATTGGGCTATGGGGGAAAATGGATATAATTTGAAGAAATGACAGCTATTAACATTACAATTACAGTTAACCAAATAGTAAGACTCTCTACTCAAGGTTTAAAAATAAATAATAAAATACTTAGAATGATTCAATAGTTATTTTATTATTGTGAACATGGCAACAACAAATGTATTGTTTAAATTTGAAGATATTTCAAACAACATAATGGTTAATTATACAATATTAACTTTTAAAACAAAAGTTATGTACTGTCAATAGTGCTTTTTTTTTTTTTCAGTGACATGTAGCCACTGAAATTTAACAATGATCATCAGACAACCACTCGAAAGCTAAACGTTACACTTACTACTAAAAACATCCCCATATTAGTGTTAAAGCATTATACCCACAACCAATAAAAAAACTGATATCACCAGGCCAAGGTTTTCCAACCTGGGTACGAGGTGGCATCGAAAGAAATTAAATTCATTAACATTTTAATTTATATAATAATTCAAAGCTTATTTTCTAATTCTAAGTTATCTTTGTAATTTTTTACCACCCCCCATTTTTTAAAAAAGTAAAAAGTTTATTTTTATATTTTGGGAAATAACTCAACTAAAATTCTGCATTAAAAACCCATCGTTAAACTTTAGGCCTAATCAGGATTTAAGTTTTAACATCTAAATCATCTAAAAAATCAAATGATTGTATTTATAAAAAGATCTTTAAGAAAAAAAAATCCTACAATCTAATGTAATGAAAATATTCCCCAAACTTTAATTGTATAAATATTCCACAAGCGATATGTTAAATTCATAAAATTCATAGCAAAGCATAAATAAATTTTGCTCAGTGCTCCAGTGTAATTGAGTTAATATCAAATTTGAATATTAAAAAAGAATTCTCGGCCATTCTTAAAAATGAATGCAATGAACAGTCCTTGTAAAATTTCCTCATTGAGCTGTTGAATATCAGATCTTATGGTGCGCTAACTTATTGCAAGGCCATACAATATGGTATGATAGATTACACTGCAATTAAGTCCAAATAAAATCTTCGTAGCCACGTTCAATTTACATAAAAATGTATATTTTAACAAATGTTCAAACTCATGTTACAGTTTTTACACCTGGAAACTACACCCTACCAATCGTCGAAACCAGGAAGTGGAAATGCCACTGCAAAGTTTCCTACCCTCTCCTTCAGATCTAAAACACGATCCTTAAACTCTGGAGCTAGGAGCTTAGCTTTGTAATCTTTCAGCAATGGACCACTCTCTTTATTGGCTTCTTGGGCAAGGTTAATGGCTGCAAATTGAATACAAATACAAGAAATTTTAAAAGGCCGCACAATCCAGTAAATAACTTACTGTGTTTAAAAGGTTATCACTCAGAATTAATTTAAAGACCTCCATTAGAGAATGTCCACTAAATTCTAGCATATTTTTTAAACCCTTCCAAAACTTTGATTGAATATTGATATTAGATCAGATAGGATTGATCAAATATAATCAGGCAATGTTACTGTGATACATTCAACAACCCATTTAACATAATATTTTCATTAATAATTAATGAAAATAATTTAAGCAAGTCCTTCAAAGTGGCAATCATTTAAGGACATCCCAAAAAAAGTTGATGAGGAAACATTAATATTTAATTAAACTCTTTGCCTGAATTCTTGATTTCTTTAGCAACTTACCAGTGACAAAGTATTTTATAAGTAGCCACAAAAAGCAGTAGCAATATTTAACAAGAACGTCTTATTAACAAATTTTAAGACAAGAAAGATCATGTTCAAAAGTCTTGCTTACCTTCATCGAAAAACTCCATCACTTTAATAAATTCTTCGTTCTTCAAGTTTCTAGATGTGAGAGGAGGTGTGCCGAGTCGCAGGCCGCTAGGCTTGAGAGCACTTTTGTCCCCAGGACAAGTGTTCTTATTAACAGCAATGCCAATCTCCTCCAAAATATATTCGCCCCTCGGTCCATCCAGACCCCTGTTGCGCAAGTCTACCAAAACCAGGTGATTGTCTGTGCCTCCTGTTACATGAAATAATAAGCTATCAAGTTTTTGAAGCTGCAAGTTTTAGTTCTAAATAATAAGCTATCAAGTTTTTGAAGCTGCAAGTTTTAGTTCTAAAGCAAAATACCCATGTCTACTAACAACATGAATGAGTATTAAAAATGTATAATTTTCTAAATAATTCTTTGTCACAAAAGCCTTAGAAACAACAAAAGTAGGAAATGGATCTAAATAATTTTTCTATAAATGGTAAGCAAACCTGAGACGACAGTGTATCCTTTGTCTAAAAGAAATTGGCACATAGTCTTGGCATTGCTAACAACCTGCTGCTGATACAGTTTGAACTCAGGGGTGGTAGCTTGCTTCAATGCTACTGCAACAGCTGATATTTGGAAGTAAAGAATTCATGAGCTTAGTTAATACAAGTGCTCATTAACAAATAATCTTCATAAACCAACTTAAAATTGCAAAGCAATCCCTTTTTATAAATACAAGTAAAACAGATGTCATTTTGCACAAGGTAAATTAAACAGGTAAAAGTCTCACCGGCAATTTGATGATTATGTGGTCCCCCTTGAAGACCCGGAAATACAGCTTCATTGATTTTCTTCTCTAAATCGTACAACTCTTTCTTACCATCATTTAACACTCGTCTAACACCTGTAAATCGAATATGTACACATTAACACACATTGTAACCTTACATGACAAGGCAAAGAATAACCTTTAATTTAAATGATTATTTATTACAAATATAAATTACCAGAAAAATATTTCCGTATATGTAAATCCCAAACAACAAAATTCCAATGACTAACATGACTCGCTCTGAAATGTTTATTTATGAAATTAATTAAAACAGTGTTAAAATAACATACTATTGAATAACCACAATATTTTCATTAAGAAAGTGTAAAGTTCATAGTGTTAAAGAACTCCCCAAGACCATTCTCAGTACTTTGGGTATCTCATTATATCTAGTCAAAATTATTAAAAATGACCCAGAAAGGACACAGCAAGAGGATCGGATCGGCACTGGACAGATGAAGTGTTCAAGCCAAGTGTAAAACAAATAAATAAAGGAATGGAAAGTAACTAATGGAAGAATTAATACCTTTCCTGAAAACAGTAATTTAATCGCAAACAGAAGAATTCATACCCTTCCTGAAAACAGTAATTTAATAATAGACAGAAGAATTCATACCTTTTCTGAAAAAAATAAGCCCAGATCTGGGCCCACGCAATGTTTTATGGGTGGTAGTGGTGACAACATCACAATATTCAAATGGGTTTGGAGCAAGCCCGGCAGCCACCAGCCCACTTACATGAGCCATATCTGCAAGAAGGTAAGCCCCTACACCGTCAGCAATTTGTCGGAAACGCTTGTAGTCCAGATCACGGGAGTAGCAGCTAATACCTGGTATTGTAGAAAATGTAATAATTCAATAAGGCAATCCATGAGGACCAGCTTACTTACATGATGGTTTAGAAATTAATTGTTAACTGAAGAACAGTTTAAGAATTTATTTACCATGGATAAAATTTAAAATACATATAAAACCTTTCGACCCTACAGGTTTTCCATACCAGAATAATGTAATTTTTCAGCACTGTTTTTCATAAAGCGCTTGTGGTTCATAAAACCATTAAACTTCTATTTAACAATGGTTTCATAATGAGCCAGAAAAAACAAAAAAACGCTCTAACCCATTATAAGTCAAAATCCCTCTTTTGAAGGGTCTAAGTATAAGCCATTTAAGCTCAAACAGAGCAGCTCAGGATTACTTGTGCATTAGGTGACGTGACGGAAACTAATGATAATAAGGAGTTGTTTTTTTTAATTCGTAAAATTTGTTAAAATGTAAATTCTGTCACATCTCACCTGCTATAATCATTTTAGGTAAAAAGAGCTTGGAGTTGGCCTCGAGTTCATCATAGTTAATTAAGCCTGTTTTGGGATCGAGTTTGTAAGGAAATGATTCAAAGAAAACAGACGTGGCTGAAACTTTTTTCTGGTTGGTCATAAAACCATGACTTAGATGGCCACCATCTGGCAAGTAGAGACCCATTATGCGTCCATGTGGTTCAACCAAAGCCGTGTACACTGCAAAGTTGGCAGGCGAGCCGGAAAGAGGCTGGACGTTAACACCCCACTCTGCAGAACTCAAGCCATATGCATCCAAAGCTCTCTTCTGGCATAATCTTTCTACCTGATCAATGATTTCATTGCCACCATAGTATCTGGAAAATTCACATTGTTAAGTCAGGTAATTTTTAAAGGTGAACCAAAATAGATATAGATAAGCAAAATGTAAGGAGAACATGAATTTGATTTACTTGATAGAGACAAATTAAAGGAGGTTAAAGCCGTTTAAAGTTGTAAGCTCCAGAAGAAATACACAACTAGTAACAACAGGTCAAGGTTAAAATTGAGCCCAAACTTGGGGAAAGAGGGTATGGGAGGCCAAAGGAAACTTACAAGAAGTAAACTAAATTGAGAGTCTGAGAAAGCAAACAGCACGTTGAGACACAGAGGGTAGAGACAGACAAGAGCAAAAAGAGATGACGTCTGCCCCATTTGAAGTAATACAGGATTAATGTGAAGAAAGTTGTAAAAACAAACAAAAAATTCAGCAACTACAACTGAAAATTCACCTCTGCCCGGGTTGTCCCTCTGAATACTTGTTATTGAGGCAGGAGCCGAGAGCTTGGAGGACAGACTTGCTGGCAAAGTTCTCTGAAGCGATCATCTCCAGTCCCCTTCTTTGCCTGGATTTTTCTTTTCTGATGAGGTCGTAGACCTCTGGATCATCCTCAGAAATATCATCTTGGAGATTCCATTTGTCTGACATTTTGCAAAGATTTAGTCTTGACTTCTGTTGAAATAAAAGAGAAGAAGATAAGCACACAGTTTCATGTATTTTAATACAATCTGATAGTGAAGACATTTCATAAAGGATGTGGCACAACTGAGATACTTAAAAGGGATTTTTTTTCCACATTTGTCGCCTATTCACTGACCCAAAGAGCTGACATTATACTTGATTCTATTAATCACTGCCGTCATCAAAGAGGACAGTCTCTTGACCTTGAAATCCTCCCTTAGATGATTAGAGATTTGAAAATTTTATGACTTGTGTTACGCCCTGTACTTCTTTTTCTACTCCTAATTCTATAATCTGTTATGTATGGAGATGCCCATCAGTAATACACTATGTCAATACAAGAACGTTCAAGATTAAATCAAGACTCTACCCCAACCCCCCAAAAAATGGGTACCTTGTCAGGATGGCCCCAAGTAATGCACATCATGGCACATGCCTCAGTCGTCTTCAGCATCACACAGACATATATCATAAAGCAATTGCAATAGACCTACTACAGGCCTATACATAAAACAGCACAGGATTTATAAGACCATATATCATTGTTTGAATTTGATCGGGGAAGGAGGGAGGGTGACTTCAATGTTCAAATGTCAGGAAATTAATTCCTAACCAAATAATTTAAAAACAGTACTATAGTACTAGTGCCATTTCAGATTTTTACCTAAACAATTTAGGTGTAATTTGGTGCTTGTGACTAGCACGTGAAATGATTGATGATTGTTTTTTTTACTTTGCTGGACACGCACATTATTGACAAGCTTGTACTGTCAATAAATGAGTATGCTCTCTACAAAATCAAAATTAACACCCCAACACGCAAAAAAATATTTATTAATTGACTTTTCTTTTAATCAGTATTTTCAGTATTTAGCAAGAATAACTCCTCCAGCCATGTCCAGACATCAAGGGATGTATACACCCTGGTTTGCAAAAATGTTTCAGCGAGAATGATTTGAAGCATTGTATCACTCCTGTCTGCATGCCTCTGAAGTTGATCTAGAAAATAAGTGCAAAATTGAGCCTGGGCCTGTCATCAATAGCCAATCTTTTCCAGAGCATTCGCGGCAGACCAGCAAGTATCATTGGATGAAATGATAGTATACTTTAAAGGAAGATGGGCCTACAAACAATTTAATCAAACAAAACCTCACACATACCACATCAAGAGTTTTGGTCTTGTTGACAGTGAAACAGGATATGTTTGTAATATCCTAATCTATTATGGCTCAAACATGTACCACCCTTCACTGGATAAATGCAACGGTATAGCCATAAAAATATTTGGAACCTTGCTAAAAGAAATTGGTTGTGGATACCATATCTTTGCTGACAGATGGTATACAACAAAAGCATTGTTGTACTTCCTTCAGAAGGAAAACTTTTACTTTACTGGAACTGTTCAGACCAAGAGAATAGGATTCCCGATAGAAATAAAGAGCCTGAAGATTGCACATATGGAATCAAAATACTGGGTGCACAATGACAAGTCTTTGCTGTGTATGGCCTTCAAAGATAAAAAGCCAAAAAAACTTATTATTGTATCCAGTAATACAACGGCAGAAAATGTTTTGGTAAAACAAACATGAAACCCAGAGTTGCGATGAATACAACCAGTTCATGAATGATTGCGACCAAGCTGACCAACTTCTGAGATACTATGGCAATCACAATAGAATAGGAATCCTTAGGAAGTCAAATAAGTGGTGAAAAAAGTTATTTTTCTGGAGCATTGAGATCTGCATTATAAATGCCTTCATTCTTTCTAAACTCACAAGGCCAGATGATCAGAGAAACTCTAGTAAAATAACCCTGAGAAATGTCAAGCTGAGACTTGTAGAAAAATTAACAGAATATGCTCAGTGATGCAACCATAATTCCAGAATTTTTGGATGTTCTAGACCAGGCTGTGAACGTCCCTGTGCCATTGAGAGACTTAGTGGAACCAAAGGCAGACCTGTTTACCCTCAGACTCCAAAAATCGTACAATATTATCACAAAATCGTTCAATACCTTATATTTATAGAAAAAAATAAACATACAGTATACATGTTAACACCTCAAAATCGTACATTGTACGCCAAAATCGTAATAGTAAACAGGTCTGCAAAGGTGCCAAAAAGGACAGAGTGTGCAAACACTGCAGATTCAAATCCGCACATCCATGTGGATTGTTTTCAAGCTCACCATATAGCTAAAACAAAAATGAAAATATATGACAAATTTATGGTAAATTTTCCATTGACCATAATAATAATACATGTAAATACAAACAAAATAGAGTGCAAATATTTTATAGTAGCATCAAATTGTTTTTAGTGGAAATTGTTTTTTTCTGACAATTTCTGTGTGGAGGTGACAATGGATAATGTGCTCTGGTGTTTCATTTTGTGTTGCTTATAGTGTGATGATTCATAATTATTCTTTATGATGAACATATGGATATAGTTTAGAAAATAACAAGCTTTGTTACACTTTGGATTATAAATTTCTCTTTGACTCACCTGAAATGAGCGTTAGCGAAAATTTGTTAAGTTTTTAATTTTTATTTGCCATAAATCAAAAATCACATTTATTTATTAAAATTTAAACCTAAGTCTGTATTGTCTGTAAAGAGCATGCATTCCCCTTTAAATCCATACAAACTTAGCACTTTCTGATGAAAAACAAAAAAGTTATGAAGGTTTAGAGACCACAAAGTAGAGCACAATGAATAGGCCTATAACATGCAAAAAAAACCTAAAATTCCGTCAGAGCGTGGAAAATAACTCCAGAGAGAAAGATTTAAGATAATGACATGAGATAAGTTGGTAAGTAACATGTAAATTTAAGGCATTATAAATATTGATAAGTCTAAGGCCTAATTTACTTTACCACTCATTCTATTATATTCTATATTATAGTACCTGCCTACCTTTCCTAAGTCAAGCCTAATGTAATGAATGAATCATTGAACCTATTGAACCTGATAGTGTTTAAACTGTTACGACACGATAAATAAATGTGTAATATAGTTTAGTCTTTTTAATAAAATAATAATATAAATAGCAAAAATTAATCTTAGTCTTAGTACTTAGTCACTATTGACTATTAATACTATTATAATAATATAATATTAATATATATTATATTAATTATTATAATTATAATAAAAGCGCGCGCGCTCCGGCCTAAACTACATTTCGTTGTTCAAAGTTTTATAACAATAATTTATAACATTTTCTTTTTGCATACTTAATACTATCCCACGAAATCAATAGCTGGAAGCAAAAAAAAAAAACCACCAACAGATCGTTGGATAAGACAGTTAAGTAGGCCTACTAATCCTCAGTTCTATCAATCAGTTGCGCCCGAAGGTAGTCAGGTAGAGAAATAGACACATGCTGGACAAAATGACAATATTATATAAATTCACTAACCAATAGAGATAATCGACATAAAATTGTAGGCATCCAATCAAAGAAGTTAACACAGTTTTAAGTTGGGGGGTTTTAAAGCGGGATGACTATAATAAATTTTATTATATAGAACTTTATAAATTGTCTTCCCTTTTCCATGGAGTAGACCTATCAGTCGGTGGGTATACATATTTTCTAATCAAAGGGATAGTCGGAATATGAGATTGGGGGAGGGGAGGACATGGGGTTTGTTTCTTGAAATCTTAGGCTGAGCAGTCTTAGAGGTTGATTATCTACTAGGCCAAGTGGTAAACGTGCCCTGCCGAGCTCTCTTTCACAACTTCTACTGCTGCTATGTGCTTTTACAGACTTCATGCTTAACACAATAATGGAGGAGTCTGAGACACCCTGGCCTGATGCAGCGTTAGGTACAGATGCAGACAGAATGAGAGAAAAAGTGCGTTAATGATATATATATCGTAATGAAGCCTAGATTGGTGGAAAAGATCATATAACTTAATTCTTCAATCTACTGTATAAATAAATCCTATGATCCAAAAGAACACATGTGTATTTAATAGCTCAAACAACAATGATTTCCTAAGATGTATTTCAATTCTTTAATGTTGTCATTCTGCTAAGGCAGTGGTTCTTAACCTTTTTGGAGGTACCGAACCCCACCAGTTTCATATGCGCATTCACCGCACCCTTCTTAATAGGAAAAATAAAATATGATTTTTGTTTCTGATTTTTTGGAACCTCCGCCGAACCCCTGAGACTGACTCACCGAACCCCTGGGGTTCGATCGAACCCAGGTTAAGAACCACTGTGCTAAGGAAAATTAATATCTTCACAAAATTCATGGAAGAAAGACAATACACCCAACACCAGGCTCCGTTGTGTGCAAGTGCACCTCCTGGCAACATTCCTGTCATCTACTCTTCTTTGAACAAGTGCACCACCTGGCTACATTCCTGTCATCGACTCTTCTTTGTACAAGTGCACCACCTGGCTACATTCCTGTCATCTACTCTTCTTTAAACATGTGTATCTCCTGGCTACACTCCTGTCATCTACTCTTCTTTGAACAAGTGCACCCCCTGGCTACACTCCTGTCACCTACTCTTCATTAAACAAGTGTATCTCCTGGCTACACTCCTGTCACCTACTCTTCTTCTCTGATTACTTATTCATCGACATAAGAAAAAACAAAACAACAAATGAAAAGACTAGGTAAATCAATTTTAAAAAATTGAAATTGTGTTTTTTAAAAAAAATCTTTATTATAAATACATTTGATTGATCAGACTGTTTCATAAATATAATAAATTAAATTTAATTAAGAACGAAGCAGAAACCAACACAACAAAGCTGCTTTTAGAAATCACTGTCTTCCATTTCATCAGGGGGTGGCTGATTTCGTGTTCGCTGGGCTGGCGCTTTGCCCATCATTTTAAAGTCTTCCTCATCATCATCCTCATCATCATCATCATCATCATCGTCATCGTCATCATCATCATCGTCCAAGTCAATATCTGAATCACCTGAGCCACTTTCCTGAAAGGAAAGCAAAAATCCAGTGCAAACAAATCATTTTTAAAACTCAAGTATAAGAAATCTGCCAAATATGTTTGAATAAATGAAAGAGAAAATAAAAATATTCATAATCATGATAACTCAAGTTTCAGGAATAAAAGATATCTCATTAAGAATAAGAACATGAGAAAAAGTGATATTTCATTAAATATAAGAACATGAGAAAAAGTGATATCTCATTAAGAATAAGAACATGAGAAAAAGTGATATCTCATTAAGAATAAGAACATGAGAAAAAGTGATATCTCATACAGAACATGAGAAGAAGTTAAAAAAATAGATTTCATTGCCTAGTGAATTATAATTGTAAAAAAACTAAACATCCTGTAAAAATGTGACATTAACCATTTTCAAAACTTTTCTTTCTCATACTTAATGAAAAGTGAGATACTCACTTGAGTAGCCATGGGAGTAAGTCACGTTAAAATTTGATACTAAATAGCTGTTTTGCCTTATGGGATAAATTATAATAAGGTTGGCTTATATCTCACACTAATGGATAAAGCAAGTTTACGGGAAGCTGTGGTTGTGCCACTAGCTTGGTTGTGTCCCGTTCCGTTATGGTGGATGCAGAGGAGGAGTAAGCATGGAATTAATTGTTTCAATATAATTGTTAAAACTTAGATGACTTTGATCATTATTATTTTTACGAGTGAAATTTTATGCTTCAAAATTGGAATTTTTGTGAGTTGGTGAGCAAAGGTAATTAGCATAGAGTATCAGATTTGACCTTAAAAAAGTTGACGTGTCAACTCAAGTTTTACATACCATTTAAGCAATAGGAAGTTGAGAGCATTAAACCCAAGTTAAATCCATTTAAGATGTTAACTAAATAGCTAAATAATTTTTCGGAAATTATGTGATGTTTTAAGAGATAATTTTGATCAAGGATTTAGAATTTATTATTAATTAATGTGATGCAAGACAGAATAGATGGAACGCATTTTGGCAGGATCCATAAAAGATTTGAAATTACCTCGCTAATGGATGGGTTCATTGCCCCTGCCACTTTGCCAACCTTCGGCTGACCTGAGGATGAAATAAGACAAATTTATTAAAACATATTTATGATACAAAGAAGGATGCACTGTTAGTGAACTTTGAGAAAGGAATAAAGCTGAGTTTGTTCAGTAAATAAATAGAGTAAAGCTGAGTTTGTTCAGTAAATAAATAGAGTAAAGCTGAGTTTGTTCAGTAAATAAATAGAGTAAAGCTGAGTTTGTTCAGTAAATAAATAGGATAAAGCTGAGTTTGTTCAGTAAATAAATAGGATAAAGCTGAGTTTGTTCAGTAAATTAAATAGAATAAAGCTGAGTTTGTTCAGTAAATAAGAGCATCTTTTCCTGATTTAACTTCTAGCAGGACTATTATTCTCTAAGAAGGACTGCATCCCATTTCTAATTTAACTTCTAGCAGGACTTTATGTTCTTGATGATAAATTTTACAATGAAATATTTTCATGCATAAAACAAGCTCTCGACAAAAAAAAATATGCAAACTCGCCTTGAAAAGAATATTATTAGAAATTCATTTATTTTTTATGAGTGGTAACAAGCTTTGTTTGAATAGGATTTAGATCAACTTTGATTTCCATTTACTGCAAAGCTACAATATCCCAAAGTAAAATGTCAACGATGTCATGTATTTGAAAACTCATCTTTGTGGGCTCATCAGTTAAACTTTTGATACACAGAAGTATTTTTGTTTTGTTTTGGGCATTAAATTAAAATAAAAAATGAAATGACTGTCCGGACATTAGTACCACATTAAAGCAGTGATTCCCAAACATTCCAGTTCATGACAACCTCAAGTGTATAAGAATTTTTCTACTGCTCTCCAGTTAAAAAAATTAAACCTAAACATAATTAAATTCTAGCAGTGTGTCATCTAGTATGACAACTGGAAAGCAATCTATGATTTGTGAAGTGTCGGTTAAATATCCTTTCTATCATTGATGGTAACACATTGATGGTTCTATTTTATATTATAACTGGCTGAGTGTAATTTCAGTGAAAATAGTTCCATATTTTTCAGCTGCCCTCTGAGTCAGCCACAGCACTCAGTTTGGGAACCACTCTGTTATGATACTGTAAAATCTTGGTTGCTATATATATATAACATTCAATAGTTAAACAAATAAAAGCTTCCAAAATATTGTAGAGGGACATAAATTATCATAGAATTATTGCTAATAAAATACCCATTAAAAATTGGGTGGTAACATTCAAACTACTTTAGTGGCTAGAAGTTTGTTATTTCAAATACAATTTATTTTAGGAGGATTGACTTAGTTGAAAGAAAAAAACAACTTAATCTATTAGCCAATTATATAATAATATTATGCCCATTAACTTGTCCTGAGTAATGCAAAACTTAAATTTTATAAAGTGAATTAACCCCAAATCAATTAAAAGCATCAAAGAAGCAATTCAAATGTAAAGGTCACAGTGGCAACAAAACTTAATTCAGAAAGAATTCTTATATACTTTTTTTTTTTACAATGTCATATCCTATTTAATATGTTATAAGTTTAAAAATTGTTTAATATGTTTATAAGGTTAAAAATTTGCTTTGTCATTCAGATTTCTGTGTACTAATTTGGTTTGCCATTACAATTTCTGTGTAATTGGGTTTGTCATTCAGATTTCTGTGCACTAATTGGGATTGTCATTGTTAACTCTGCAGTTTTAATGCTACAAAAAAGTCATTGTTAAAAGTTCGTGCTTTATGTACATTTCTGAGGTACTAAAAGGTGGCTTCATCATCAGATATGTCATACGCATCACAAACAAGGGTACCTAAGTTCCTGGCTGGAGGAGTTATTCTCGCTGAAAGTTGCGTAAAACACTGATTAAACAAAAAGTCAATTAATAAATGGCGAGGTCAACAAGCACAGGATGTCATCAATGAAATTCCTCTCAGGACGCTCTTCAATTCTTTTTTAAATAAGATGATGATCCTTTTACTAAGATGATTAAGAGTTTCAAAGCTCTTTAATTCTTTGTTACTAAGACGATGATGCTAAGAGTTTCAAAGCTCTTTAATTCTTTGTTACTAGGATGATGATGCTAAGAGTTTCAAAGCTCTTTAATTCTTTGTTACTGAGATGATGATGCTAAGAGTTTCAAAGCGCTTTAATTCTTTGTTACTAGAATGATGATGCTAAGAGTTTCAAAGCTCTTTAATTCTTTGTTACTAAGATGATGATGCTAAGCGTTTCAAAGCTCTTTAATTCTTTGTTACTAAGATGATGATGCTAAGAGTTTCAAAGCTCTTTAATTCTTTGTTACTAAGATGATGATGCTAAGAGTTTCAAAGCTCTTTAATTCTTTGTTACTAAGATGACGATGCTAAGAGTTTCAAAGCTCTTTAATTCTTTGTTACTAACATGATGATGCTAAGAGTTTCAAAGCTCTTTAATTCTTTGTTACTAAGATGATGATCCTAAGAGTTTCAGTTTTATATCTAGGGCAAATAATAATTAAATAAACTATAAAATTATCATTCTATTAACATAAATACCAATGTGTGTTAAATTTCCTTTATTCCTTCCACTTCCAGTACAACACAATTTTTCAAATTTTTAATCTAGAGGCTTTTGTAAATTAACAAACTCACATATGATTAAAAAAAAATCTTTTGGTCCTCTGGATAAAATGAAGGAACATCTGCCATGGCTATTAAACAACTTGAAAGTAAAATTTATTTGATAGTCAGGTAACATTTGTTCCGTTCATCATTTCATACCAACAATTTAAATGCATTTAAATTCATCAGTTTCTAATAACTTCAATAATGAATTTCCATTGCGGTTTTTACACTGATGAATTTTTTGTTTTTATTTCGTATGCATTCTTTATTTCCAAGACATCTTTTCAAATTCAGCCTCTACTTTAGCATTACTGTAATTCAACATTATATAACGTAAGATAAGGGAAATTTTTGTTTTAATAAGTTAATAATGTTATATTCTTTACAAACAGTTAACTATTATAAGCACAGCAAACGCCCTGATATTCTCACAGCAGAGACCATGATAAGCTCATAGCAGAAAAATGCCTACCTTCTGGTCTGAAGCGATCAGCCACACGAGCCCGTGGCACTATTTCTTCATCTGAATCCTTTCCCTCTTCATCTAAATAAATCAAAAGAATTTTTTTCTTTCAAACTAATAAATAAAACTACAAGAAATGACGCCAACGAACTTCATATTTCAAAATAACATTATATTATTATATTATTTAAAATTTCATTCCCTAGCCCCCAGGAAATGTATATTAAATACTATATTGTAATTTGTCCTGACAGTATTAACCCTCGCTTGTTATTTAAGTTTTCACCCTTTCTTTAAAGTAAATATTTTCTCTCCATTTGTTTAGTTTTGTATTAACCCCTTTCAGCTTGAGCAGCAATCCATGTTGCCACAAGAGGAGATAATTTAGTTAGGAGGTTGAATATTGGGCTTTTCTTTTGAAAATTCTGTTAAATTATTTTTGTGTTTAAAGTTTTTGTGTTAAACACAACAAGTTCTCCAATTATATTTGTCATTCTTATAGATTCAAATCATTCACTTGCCAAAAATATTACTTACCAAAGATGTTTTTATCGTCTTCATTATCCTCAGGAGAAATCTGCTGATGTTTTCTTTCTTCCGTTCTAATTTTATCTGCCATAACTTTCAACTGCTGCTCAGTTTCCTACAAGTAAGTGTTAAATTTTAAAAAAATTACATCCACCATACAGATTTCAAGGATTGATTTCAATGACATTTTGAATAAAAGAAAATCATTCATTATTAATAAAAAATGCGCCATAAATTTAATTTGTAAATTTGATTTGAATCTGTTACAAATCAAAATAATTAGTTAATATAGGGATGGCCCCTAACAACAGAAAACAAAGGATATCCAAAAAGACATCAGTAGGGAGGAGAAAGATAAAGGATTTTAGCATTGCGTGAGATTCTGTGCTGAGAAGCAAGGACAAGTTTTATCCTTTCTTAAAGTTCAACTGAAAATATTCCTGAAGGCCATATTCAACTCACTGTTTTTATTCAGCTGATGCACCTACTCAATGCATCATAACAAAAGTAGAAACAACCAAAGTCAAAGGCACAAGCAATCATTCGGGCACCATTAAAGTGACATACAGGTAGCTGATTAATAATATCTCCTTTCTCACTTTGAGTAAATCAAAATATAAACCAGCATCCAATTTTTGGTGCTGTTCCCTTTTTCCAAAACAATTTTAACTTCATGAATAAGTTCTACTTGAATTTATTTTTAAGAACTATTGAAGTTGAACCCCAGTTATTATGGGAAAATTCATAAAACTTATGATACTGTGTTGCTTCAAGTATATGGCACTCCCGCACCCTTAAAGTTTGGTGTTGACATGGTCTATTTTTTTCTTTTTTTTTCTTTTCAAAAACATGCATGCCAACATGAACACTTTTTAAAAGTGCAAAATTGACCTCTGACCTCTAATTTATCATGTTCCACTTTGTTCTGTTCTTCAAGTTGTGTCTCTAAAAAGGCTAGATTTCTGAACTTGATCATGTAAGCGTCGTAGAGTTTCTCTAGATCTTCTTCTAATCTTTCATACTCATCCATGTAGGCTGGCCTAAAAGGAAAAGAAAAAGTGGACTAGTACAGCTTAGTTTTAAGAAAACAAAAAAAATTTAAGTCGAGAACTGCCACTGTTTGGTATCGTAAGACCATGAATCTTATTTCCAGTGTTCATACGAACAGAAGAAAAATAGACTTCTAATTCATGCTAGACCACTAATGCGTTTTTTCTATTACCTTTAATTTTGATACTCAGTTGTTGGGCGCATTAATTTGATAACTGTATTCTTCTATACAACAAGGTTAGGAGTATGAAGCCATGCAGTTAATATCTTCTTCTAGTATAGAAAAAGGAAGAGTAAAGGCTTTCTAAGAATTAGGGAGTTCCCCCTAAATTCTACAGCTCATTACTACAGTTCTACCTGACGCTCTGCAACGTCTGCAACCGTTTGTTGTTTCTTTCCAGCTCACTCTTCTTTTTCTCAATCTTCGCCTCCAGGTTCGCTTCATCTGACGCAACGTTGTCCAACATGTTCATGGTCTTCTGGATTTCATTCTGTAAGATCCACATTGAAACATACATCAATACATCCACATTTAAACATACATCAATACATCCACATTCAAAGGTTACTGATGTCTAAATAAAAAAAAAAACTCATGAAATTATGCAGACTGGTGATAATATTAAATTTTCTGGTGTATAATTTCTGTTGCAAGTTTATTCAATTATGTCCAGGGTGGGAAGCTTACACACCCCCCCCTCCCCCCAACATGCAGGCAGATGACATGTTTTTAGTGCAGCCAGCAAGACCTTCCAGGAACTTGGTTAAAGTTTTTGTTCAATGAACACAATGTGAATGACTGACTTTTAAAGTCAAAGCTTTTAAAAATTATGTTATTTTTAATTGTCATTACGCTTTAGTTATTTCAAATTTATTTTAAAAATATTCAATTTATAACTTTAGATTCCTTGGAAATTCTCATGCGGCATGGCAAAAATTATTAATTCTCATGCTGTCCTCTGCACAAAAAGGGTTGCCTACCCCTGATTTAAATCATAATAAAAGTAATTTTAAATAAAGATTACCTGTAGAATATTTATTTAATGAATATTTAGAAGTATGGTATAAAAATGTAATGTCAAAAAAAATCCTATATGATAGTACATATTTGTATAAATTCCCTATCATAGTTCACATCTTAAAAGCTTGTTTGTGCATTATTGTTGAAAATTTCAAAGCAATACATTTTCAACCAAGCATACAGCTGGCAAAGACTTATTTAAATTGTTCAACACAATAGCTACGCAAAAACAATTGTAATAATTACCCGCACAGCCTCTATGGATCCTTGGAGGCCGTGCTCGACTTCATTGATCTCCAGCGCCCGTGCTACGACTTGTACTCGTTGCTCCTGCAAAAAAAAATTATTTAAAAAGTTCAGATTTAAAGCTCCCACAATTATTATTTTCACTGGGTCACACTTTCTATATGAACAATTGTTTTTGCCATCATCAGTTGTTTTTAACACTTCAAATGAAAAAAAATCTACAATGACAGTGCTTCATTCGTATTATAAAATCAAATATTTACTTTTTAATAACAAAATAAAGTGTAAAACATTATTCCTTTTTTAAATATCAAATTTTAAAAGTGACCTAATCGCATTTTATGAGGTAATCAACCAGATCTTCTGGTCAATACAATAAATGCTTCATTTTTCTGTTATCTGCATTTTAAAATAATTTCAAATGCTTTATTTTAAAAGTGGACACAGTATTAAGACTGAAAATATGATATATAAATTGGTTGAATACATTTATGAATTGAGTACAACTTTCAAGGAAAGAGTAGCAAAAATGATTCCTCTCAGCAAACATTTATCACAACCTGGATGTGTGAACTTTACAGTTCATCAACATTTGCTTCTTCTTTTTTGAATGCTTTGTATAAAAAAAAAAAAAAAAATCGGAACTGAGTCAAGAGCTGTTATTAGCAAGGTAGCTAGAAGCTGATACTTAGCAGTTTTTCAAGAAAAAGGAAATTCCTCTTAATAACATGTTATTGCAACTAATGGATACCAACAATGAATTGTTCCTACTGTGGGTTTCTTAATGGGCAACTAATGGGATACCAACAATGAAGCGTTTCTACTGTGGGTTTCTTAATGAGCAACCAATGGGGTACCAACAATGAATCGTTTCTACTGTGGGTTTCTTAATACGGATTGTCTAAACCCTAAGTCATTAAATACGGATAAATCGCCAGTGAATAAAATTAAAGTTCTAACTCTGAATGATCCACCATTTTGAAAAGCTATGACGACAACTGCTCTTTAAAATCTTTCCATTATCTTCCACTAAACACCTGGAGCCTGCTGCTACATTTTGAAGCCATATGGTCTCAAATTATGCAATTTTATTTTTAACATTTCCATCACTTAGAAATATTAGATAATATCAGTTATTGTATCAAATTTTATCAATATCAAATAATATAAGTAATTGATTATTGATTTTAAATTATAACAAAATTATATAATATAAGTTATCAATATTAGACAATACAAGTTTTTGATATCAAATTCCAAAAATACAAAGTATTAAGAGTTTGATGAGTTTGAGCATTTTTATCTTTAAATAAGTTTGTTATAACAATCAAATCATAGGAAAAATTGGTCCAGTTAATGTGGGGCGCAATTATGGAAAGGACGTTGAGCAGTGATGAAGTATTTTGGGTCTAAACAATACTGTAAGCTAAAAAAAACTGAAGTTGGAAAATTTGGTGAAAAGTGATAAGGAACGCCTAAATACATTTCAGACCGTAACAGGCAGGCAACTGATACCACTGGAGAAATTTATCTTTTGAATTATACGGTTTGTTTGATTCAAAGCAGCGGCAAGTTTAAGATTACTTCAAAAATGTATTCTTAAAAATATATATTTATGACTCACTCCACTGAAATATATATATAAACGAATAAATCCTCTGCCTAAAACATTTATTAGTGATATAATTTTAAAAGGTCAGCTTGACTCACCCTAAGGTCAACTTCTTTCCCTAAAAGATCATATAACTGAGCTCCCTTGACTGTAATTTCTGACGCCAATCTTCTGGCTTCTTTTAGTTCATTAATCTGTTGAAAATTAAAATGTGTTATGGAAAAAAATGTTTTATTCCTAAACAAATAAAAAAAACAACAACAAAAAACACTATTATTTACCCATAGTATTGGTGGGTTGCAGTACCAGTACCTTAGACAAAAAAATTGCTTTTTTTATCTAAATGTCATTTTGGCTCTTAAGTGTTTGGCAGGACTTAAGTATTTGACAGGACTTAAGTATTTGACAGGACTTAAGTATTTGGTAGGACTTAAGTATTTGGTAGAACATAAGTATTTGGTGGGTTAGGCTTTGCCACTCAAAACTTACTCTGGATGACACATCAAAGGAAACATTTGCTGAATCTCCTGACCCGGACTCGAGCTTGCCGGCCACATTTGTTTTTGTAGCACTGTAAAGAACAGCGGTGACTTTGAGCATTTCTTTGACAGCGTAGCCATCGGCTCCGTACAGCTTTTTTGTGTTTAATTTGATGTGAGCTTTTGTGGCCTTGTATATATAAAAAAAAAAATTAATGTATAACATTCATTCTAATTTACATAAATAAAAAATCTTGTATTTAGAATACTTTGATGCCACAAATGTTACTTAGATTTAAATGAATTCTTTCATCTGCTGACTTATTAAATATGCGGCAAATATATTTTCAACTAGGACAGCAATTTGAAAAGTTAATTCTTTTTACTTTCTCACGCCAGTGCTTACATGTCAAGTGTCTGCTGTCTCTTATAAAAATGTAAAAAAGAAAGAAAGGGTGAAATTCAATTCATGAAAACTGAGGCCACTTTCTGAAAAAAGATATTGCCGTTTACATCTTTCATAAATAAAAAATGCCATCAAGTGTGCTGTATTAAACTTTACATGTACATCGTTTTTGGGTCTTAAGTTGGTCGACTGTCTGACAAGAGCATTTATAAGTATATATTAAACATAATAGTAAAAATAATACATTTTGGAATTGTAACTGACAAATAATGAAAAAGACATAATATTTGATTAGCATCTTTTTTGTTGATTTCTCTGAGATATGCTTTTGATTGAAAAATATTTTTTCAAACTTATTATCTACAGTGTTTTACTTTTCTAAAGAAAAGTCTTTAAAAACTATTCAGACAGCACATTAAAAAACAAATACAGGCGAAATTATGTGACTGACGTAACATGACTTTATAACTGGCATAACATGACTTTGTAACTGGTGTAACATTACTTCGCAACTCATGTAACTTGTCTGAAGGCATGCAATCAAAAATAGAACAATTAGAAAAATAGAAAATGTCAATTCTTTTACAGAACTACAAATCCTTCACTGCAGCAGTTAAGTATACTTAATGACAGTGTTTTAATTCTTGTCCATCATGGGACATTGGCCATGACAAGGCAAATTGTCTGTCTATATTTCTTAGATGTAAACACAATAAAATTCAATAAAATTTATATTAAATTGTGCCAACTACAACACGTTCTTAATTCAACTTGGACACCAGGACACAAAACAAAAATGACCCCATACCAAGATGCAGGAAAAAGATTCATATAGCATCAAATTTTATACATTTATTTAATTTAAGGATTCTGTGTCCAATTTTACTTGGAATTTTAAAAAATTAATAAAAAAAGTAAGCAAACATTACCATGAACTCTGCAACTGTTTTAATAAAAATCACTCGATCTTGCTCTGTGTCAATATCTATTCCAATGTCAGCATTAGGATCATATCTATTGGAAAAGGAGCAAAGCAATTAAAAACTTTAAAAAATTATACACAGCTTTGGGATCAAATACCACTTACTCTATTTTTAAATGACCCCAATGAAAAAGAAAATGGAATGGGTTTGCTTCAAATCATTGTATAGTCTCTTCAATCTTTAATTAAATCTACTTCAGTGATGAACTAGTTTTTGTTTTTGAATTGATCACCTGAGTTTTAAACGCTTTTAACGAAAGTTTTAAACTCTTTTAATTTTTAACGAAAGTGTCAAATAGAGAATGGATAAATAAATAGTAAATAATTTACTGTCCAATAATTTTTAATCAAATTTATACTGTTCAATGATTTGGGTTGCACTGGATGATTAGGTACATGGACAAAGAAATTCACTAAAAGCATAAATACAATCACATCACCTTTTCATCAACCAAGTTAGGCATTCGTAAACTAGTTTAAAGTTTGGAGTCCTAAAATTCTCCATTGAAATAAGCCGATGAAATCCCAAGGCCCGCATCATCTCTGTAAAATCTGGTGGAAAAAAGTTGTTAATTTATTTGGTGAAAATTTGATGATTTTTTTTTTAAATGGAAAATTTTTCAAGGTAATAATGATTGAAGGTTTGTGATAACGTTCTCAACTTGTGACTCCCCAGTCGAAATCATCAGCAATTAATATTCTTGCAATTAAAATGCAATAATTTTACAGGGCTAGTTTTCAGTGATGCAAAAACACCAAGAAAGTTCATCTTTCTATCTTTTATAGAAGTGGAGTTATGATTTTCTTTTGGTGAATTCTTAAAATTAAAACCACTGATTTATTCATTGATTACTAAAACTTTTATTTCTTTCAATAAACTGTATATTTATTTCACACCCAGCACCACCATGCCCATGTCGCACAATGACAATCACAATGACAATGCGTGAGGGCGAGTGGGATAACTGAGTCAGTCATTGATAGGCATTTCATTCACTCTCCCTCTTCACTACTACTACTAGTAACTAATAATAGTCACTGTCAAGTGCTTCTGGCGTGGTGCTAAGTTATAACTGACATACTCTTTACGAGACAAGCGTAAAAAAAAAAAAGTCTAGTGAGTTTAGTCTTAGTTTAAAAGTGAGCACAGCGTACTTTATTTTATAATTAAAAGTATTTTATTCTACACTGTCTACAACACTCACATCGTGTAGATTTGTTTGTATATTAATATGAACCTACTTCTTAAGTCTTTAAAACTCATTTCCAATATTTTTTGAATAAAGTGGACTTAAAGAATTTAAATTACAGATCCAGATATTCTTGTTTTCAGAATGAAACTGTTGGAATGCTTTTAAAGCGCCATCTGTAAACATTTTGCACCATGGTGAATGATTAAGGGGGCATAATTCTAAATTTTAAAGAGAAAACTTCAGATCCTTGTTTCTGACATTTTCAAATTTAATAGAAACACACGGCTTATTAAAATTTAGACGGCACACTTAAAGCCATTGTACGACAACCTTTCAACATTAATGACGTAAATTACAAAACACAAAGTGAAAGTATATTATAAATACAATTAAAATAAAAGGCTTGGACTTCGATTATTTAAGATTAAAAGTAGATAAAAAGGCTGCCCTACACACGAAACAATTTCAAATATGACAGTAATCTTTTATTTAAAAGACAAACACAAAATACAAGTAAAACGATTATGCTACAAGGTGTTAATCAGGTAAAGAAATAAAATAATTAAAGGAACACATTTCTTAGGCTTAAAACTTAATAGATAATAATTAGCCACCGCCCCCCTCTCACACTCTACGCCTCAAGCCTTCGTTAATATCAGCCTTTTCATTTGTATGTACTGTAGTGTCTGTAGGCCCATCATCTGAATGCTCTGACTGACCTCTCTGCACTTACTGAGCTTTTTCATAGGCTTTCCTCCCTCTCGTGTTATTCAAAAAAAGTAAAGAGTATTGCTTCTCAGAGTGGTGACCTCGAAATACTGATCTGTGTAATGTGGACCGCCACCAGACCCCCTGGCAGGAAAAGATTTTTTCTTTTTAAACCAAGGAGACCAGAAAGTGCAAAATCATTAGTTGTATTTAGTCTAGTTTACAGCAGAAATTTACACAATATGTCCCTGGACCGTAACACAGATCGTATATTTATTATTATTTTTTTATTGAAAATCAGGGAACTGAAATTCTATTCTCTCACAGAGCATAACTCTGTATACACAGATTTTCTTTATGATTTGCTGAGTTTGTCCCCTTAGCTATTGAATTTTTCTCCAAGGGACTTTCAACTGTCACGGGTTAACGAACTTAATGTGTAGCATATGTGTTCGTTAATAAAAGTTATTAACAAAATATAATGGCACTATTAAACTGGAGCCACTAACCTTCAGGGTGGGATTGGGGGTGAGGGAGGGGGAGAGAGAAATACCCCATTATTTCATGTATCATGTGGTGACCCATAACACCATTTTAAAGAAATCCAACCCTGTAGGGATTATAATTATCTACACCAACCTCCCCTCTCCACAACTTCATCCCCTCTCCACAATACCCTCCCCCTCTACAACACCTTCCCCAATCTACAACACCTTCCCCTCTCTACACCATCCTCTCTCCCTACAACACCCTCTTCCTCTAATCCCATCCCTTTCTAAGACCTTCCCCTCTCCACGCCCCTTCCCGCTCTACACTGCTCCCTCTTCTACACCAACCTCCCCTCTCTACACCCCCCCAACCATGTTTTCGTTCCGATTTCAATCACCAATTATCTAACTTTAAAACTCTCCACCTACCAATGACTGCCAAACTCTCCTCATGTCAATGAATGACACACTCTCCTCCTGTCAATAACTGACAAACTCTCCACCTGTCAACAACTGACACACTCTCCTTCTGTCAATAACTCACAAACTCTCCACCTGTCCGTAACTCACAAACTCTCCACCTGTCAATGACTGACAAATTCTCCACCTGCCAATGACTGACAAACTCTCCACCTGTCAATAACTGACAAACTCTTCTGTCAATGACTGACAAACTATCATGTCAATGATTGACAAACCCTCCTCCTGTCAATGACTGATAAACTCTTCATCTGTCAATAACTGACAAACTCTCCACCTGTCAATAACTGACAAACTCACCACCTGTCAATGACTGACAAACTCTCCACAAACTATCGGGAAAAAATTTATCAAATATTATCTGAACTACCAACTTTGAAATAGACATACCCACCCCATCCCTTATAGCTATAGCTCATACACATTATGGCAATAGCTCATGTACCTTATAGTTATAGCTATAGCTCCTGTACCTTATAGTTACAGCCCCTTTATCTAATAGCTCTAACTCCTGTACCTTATAGCTCCTGTACCTTATAGCTACACCTCCTTCACCTTATAGCTATAGCTCCTTCACCTTATATCTATAGCTCCTGTCATCATGAAATAAAATATCGTACGTTCTTATTTTGATATACATTATATAACAGCTCGCCATTGGAGTCATTGTGCGTTATTTTCAAACTCATTTTTTTACTGCTCTAAAACTGAACCTATTTCTGGTGCTAAAACAATTGGGAAAAAACAACAGTTCAGGCCATTTTATCTTTCGGAAAAGCTGAATTCTAACCAACAACAAAAAAAAAAAAAAAAAAATTAATGTAAAAACCAAACATAGTTGAAAAGATAAGGTAATGAAAGAAATTGTTTATTCTTACATTTCCTCCTAAGTAAGTCATTGTGCGTTATTTTCAAACTCATTTTTTTACTGTTCTAAAACTGAACCATTTTCTGGTGCTAAAACAATTGGGAAAAAACAACAGTTCAGGCCATTTTATCTTTCGGAAAAGCTGAATTCTAACCAACAACAAAAAAAAAAAAAAAAAATTAATGTAAAAACCAAACATAGTTGAAAAGATAAGGTAATGAAAGAAATTGTTTATTCTTACATTTCCTCCTAAGTAATATCATCCACAGTTTGTAAAGTAAATAACCGTATCACTGGTTTTAAATCGGTCCAAAATTTTGGGCTACTTAAAATGGTGGCAAACTATTTTTATGACACAATGTGTGTGTGTTCGTGTAAATGTGTGTACATGTATATGTAATATATATTCACAAAATACATCTTAATTCAGAGGCAAAGACTGTATTTTTTAATAGGGGTGTGATCAAACTTAAAGATTAACTATATACTATTGTTTTTTTTTTTTTAAATAATCATGTAATCAAGATTATTGTGAGGACCATTGTAAATTAAAATCTAAAATTTTGATGAAAGATTCACTCCAGAAGCGCCAGTTTTACCCTTTAAGCTAGGAGACGATTTCATTCATTTGGCTTAATCATACCCCTCGTACTGAACTCAAAATGCTTCAGTTTTACCCTTTAAGCTAGGAGACGATTTCATTCATTTGGCTTAATCATACCCCTCGTACTGAACTCAAAATGCTTCAGTTTTACCCTTTAAGCTAGGAGACGATTTCATTCGTTTGGCTTTATCATACCCCTCGTACTGAACTCAAAGTGCTCGTACTGAACTAGAGAACTCGATTCCTTATCAATTTATTGATTATAAATCTTCAGCTGACCCTTTAGCAAACGAACAGTACTTTTCATCTGTAATGGAGCTTGGGGGACCTGAGCTAGAAGGGCCGTATCTGTAATGGAGCTTGGGAGACCTGAGCTAGAAGGGCCGTATCTGTAATGGAGCTTGGGAGACCTGAGCTAGAAGGGCCGTATCTGTAATGGAGCTTGGGAGACCTGAAGGGCCATATGGGAGTTTGATGATGTGATAAACCGAGTTTTATAATGTTGTGCTAACGTAGTTAGACCAATGTTTAATGAATAGTTAAGACTATAGTTAAGACCAATGTTTGGTTTTGTGGTATTACGACCATTATTTGGTACTGTGGTATTAAAGTTTCGACCAATGTTCGGTACTGTGGTATTATATTTAATACCAATGTTTGGTACTGTGGTATTTCATTTATGTTATTGTTTGGTAACCCTGATGTCTGGTTACTTGTTCAGTCTGGTTACTTGGTCAGTCTGGTTACTTGGTCAGTCTGGTTACTTGGTCAGTCTGGTTACTTGTTCAGTCTGGTTACTTGTTCAGTCTGGTTACTTGCTCAGTCTGGTTGCTTATTTCCTTGATCAGTTTTAAAGCAGTTGTTTGACCATCGTCGGGGCATGGGCGCATCCACAGGAAGGGTACATACAAGTACAAGTGCAAGGTTTATCCACAGTCTTATGCTGTCTGACTGTGATCATCACATTTTATACTTGCGTGTTTTACGAGCCCTTTATAATTGTATTTTCTTATCCGTAGCTACGCCCCTGGGTTGTCTACACATATTCTCTAGCTACTCCCCTGGGTTATCTACACATATTCTCTAGCTACGCCCGTGGCTTTTCTACACATAGTCTATAGCTACGCCCCTGGGTTGTCTACACGTATTCTCTAGCTACGCCCCTGGGTTGTCTACACATATTCTCTAGTCACGCCCCTGGCTTGTCTACACATATTCTATAGCTGCGCCCCTGGGTTGTCTACACATATTCTCTAGCCACGCCCCTGGGTTGTCTACACATATTATCTAGCCACGCCCCTGGGTTGTCTACACATATTCTCTAGCTACTCCACTGGGTTGTCTACACATAATATTCCTTTTTTAAAAATTTTGTAAAAAGATTCTTAGCAAACGATATTGATTTAAAATCGATTATTTAAATGTTAACGATATTGAGGCGCAAAGATTACCTCCCTTCACTGGCATAGCTAGAGTTAGTGCCCCTAAAACTCTGGGCTAGAACTGTCGGTATGTTGACAATATGAATGAAAGAGTTTAAAAAACCGATAAGTCCTAGCAAGGGCATGTCACTCTCACAATCTGCTTTTCAAGCCAATCTTCAAGTAGGTTTCCTTCGATCGATACCCGACTAGTGTTGCTATTTCACCCCCGGTTTCACTTCGGGTTGGCAGATTTAGCGGTTCTGAATTCTTGTTCAAGAAACAACCGAGGCAGATAACCAGGGCCAGATTTTCCTATAGGACCATATAGGGTCATAGCCTAGGGCGTAATGGTCAGGGGGGGGGGTGTGTATATATAGAAGAAATTAACAACCAAATATTTACAAATGTTTCAATGTAATTTTAAAATGCCACACAAAATGATGTTGCACCGGTATTGTAGACTTCAATACAAAAAGAAGGTTGTACTAAGATTGTATTAAGTGAAAATTTTTCAAAGAAGCTAAATTAATTGGAAGGTATAAATAATCTTTTTTGAAGTGGGGAGGAGGGGCACAGAATTATGCGCTTTGGTCTTGGGCGCAGAATTATGGGGTTTGACCTATTTGGCGCAGAATTATGGGGTTTG